AGAAAGATTAGCCCTGAGCTAACATTTGTGCCCATCTACCTCTACTTTATATGTGGGACGCCCACCACAGCATGGGTTTTACCAAGCGGGGCTATGTCTGCACCCGGGATCTGGGCCTGTGAACCCCAGGCCACCGAGAAGCGGAATGTGTGCACTTAACCGCTGTGCCACCAGGCCGGCCCCTAAAAATGCCTAATTCTTGAAGAAGCAGATTAGACTAAGACTATACCACATTTAGCATTGTGCTTTCTGATAGTTATTCAGACATAGGTATATAGAAAACGTAATAAATCTATTTTATGTTTATGATACATACTTAGTACTTACATATAAAAGACTACAATATATATCACAAAATATATATCCATTGACATGTTCATAATATATATATTCTATATTCACAATATATTCTATATTTGTGATATATGATATATTAAATGCATTCAGAAACTCATATTTAGAGGTAGTAAAAAGGTATACAAAGGCAGATTTTACATTTTGTCTGGTGTCAGGTATATGAACTCTCTGATCAATTTCTTTTGCACCATGTATTTTCCTTTTTCATTCTTTAATTACCCTGTAAAGGCCCTAAACATACCTAATTACTACTAAAGGCCTAGAATTTGGAATATAAGTAGAGTTAAGATTATTTTGTGCCCGTGATTGTGTTGAGGGCATATTACAACAAAATCTTACTTACTTTATTTCACATTCTAAACCTCAGGTGGACATGTAACTTGCTATAAAGCATTATTTCCAATACAAATTTGTTTGATATATTAAGTGGAATATTTTTCTATGATGGAAGCAAAGTGGTATTCCTTATTTTCCTCATCAGTGTCTAAGCCTCTTTTCCAGATAGTGGTGGCCCAGGCTGACCTGAACTGGGCCTGGCAGTGGAATCTTATTGACCACCTTGGCCTTTGGTTATCAGAGATGCAGTTCACAGGAGAAACATCAAATCATCCAGGAAAGAATCACGCGGATTGTAAATTGAAAGATGTTAGGCAGAAAAAATACAAATAAGAAGCAACAGAGATCAGATTGATCAGAAAGGACAACATTTCTCATTAGAGAATGCCACCTGCTCCCTCCAGCAATTCTTACGCTGAGAATAGACTACCTGACATGTTTTGCTCTTATTTTATTTTTATTTATTTTTCTGTGTAATTCATTTATCCATATTGTTGATATAGGCAGGAAGAATAGAGTTTAAATGTTTTTACATTTTGGAATTCTAGGATATTGGATTTGAAACATCTTCCCAAAAATACAAAACAAACAAACAAAACACTGGATATCTATTCTGTATCAGTGGATTTGAAATCATCTATTTAATTTGTCTCAGTTGGCCTTTGGGTTCAGCAGATTGAGGTGACTTCTAAACCCTGAAATCATTTTGTTCATAGATGGAATCCACAGGACAAACTCCCCCACAGAGGAACCTCAGTATGTTGGTGGAATTCATCCTGTTTGGTTTTTCTGATGTTCCTGACCTCCAGGGATTTCTTTTTGGGGTGTTTTTGATAATGTATGTGATTATTCTGATGGGCAATGGCCTCATTATCATAATAACCAACGTTGATCCTTCCCTCCACACTCCCATGTATTTTTTCCTTAGGAAATTTTCTTCTTTGGAAATATGTTATGTGTCAGTCACTGTCCCCAGATTATTAATAGATCTTTGTAGACAAAAGAGAAATATTTCCTTTCTCGCCTGTGCTGTACAAATGTATTTCTTTCTGGTCTTGGGAGCCACTGAGTGCTTTATTCTGACGGCAATGGCCTATGACAGGTATGTTGCCATTTGCAACCCATTACTCTACCCTCTCATCATGAACAATAGGCTGTGTAGCCAACTGGCAGCTGGCTGTTGGATCAGTGGAATTCCAGTCCACATAGGATTCACCTATCAGCTGTTCTCTCTCCCCTTCTGTGGATCTAACCTGTTGAATCACTTTTTCTGTGACATACCTCCAGTACTTGAGCTTGCCTGTGGGGACACTTTTATGACTCAGATATTGATTTACATGGTTGCTGTTCTAGTTGTCAATATTCCTTTTATGTTGATACTTGGATCTTACGTAAATATAATCTCAACCATCCTGAAGCTGCCATCAGCAACTGGGAGAGCCAAGGCCTTCTCCACTTGCTCTTCTCATCTCATGGTTGTGGCTTTATTCTTTGGATCAGGCATCATTACCTATATGAGACCAAAGTCCAGCCATTTAAAAGGAACGGATAAATTCCTTTCTCTTTTTTACACCATTGTGACCCCAATGCTAAACCCTATAATATATTGTCTGAGAAACAAAGATGTCATGGTGGCATTGAGAAAATTCTTACCAAAATGGATTGTGCTATGACTTAAAAACAAAACTTCATAAAATTTGTTTCTTATTTATCACAGTCTCCATACATTAATATTGATTCTTCTCAAATTTTATTAGGAATCTTAATTATTCTGATTGATCTTATACACTTATCACATGAAAGAAACTCTGCTGCTACTTTTAAATAAAATAATAATCCCAAACTCAATCCAAGATATTGAAATATCTCAAATAACACATTGGAGTCTTTAAGGTTGCTGTTACTTTTTAAGATTTTAGAATATTGGCTAAATTTTTTATTTCACAAAAAATGCTTCATCTTTATATCTCCAGTTCCAACATATTGTCTGAAAAATGTTAGACATTTAGTTAACTTTGTTAGATTGAAAGGATGACTAATAGCAAAAGTTTAACTATTGATATTTTACCTGCTCATGATCAATAATTGCATTATAATCAAGAAAGTTAACACAAAGAAAGGAAGGATTTGAAACCAACAATAGTGAGTAGAATTGATGTGTTAAGCAGAGTTAAAATTCTATCTGTTCTTATTGGTGATTCATCAGCTACTTCCCAAAAGCCAAATTCATATAAGAAAAAGGGGGCCACTTTATCTTGGTTACAGAATTCAGTCTTCCTGTAGAATTCTACCTAAATTGCCTTCACTTCTATTGTGTTAAATAGAATACTTGATTTTAATTTTCATATGGAGGTTTTAAATTCACAAAGATGGTACAAGTTGTGGGGGTTTGGGAGAAAAATAAAGGTATTTGAGAACCCAAAACAGGGAATTTATATAAACCTACTAAAATGTTAGCTCTGGGCTGTGTGAGAGTCATTTTTCGTACCGCCAACTCCCTTCTTGAGGTAGAAACCAGCAATTTCCCTTCCTTCTTTCTTTAAAGAAACAGTATAGAGTCTTAATAACAAAGGAATGCCTGTATAGGAAGACAGGAAAGGGTAAATTTGAACATTAAAGCAGCAAAATCACAGGCATTTCCTTCACATAGTTGTGCATTCAGTAAACTTCTTGGTACCAACCTTTGCAGTGTCTTAGGTGCTGTCACCAGGCTTCCTATGGTGTTCCTTTCAAAATACAGAACATTTTTACTCACCGCCTACTTCTCCTTCACTCCTATCACATTTATCTCCAGTGTTCTTTAGAAGGTAGTGTGATGTTACATATAACACAAGTTCTGTACAATTATTTCCTGTCATAAAGCCCCAGCTTAAAGAGAAAAGGTGAAAAAAGTAAAAGAAACCATTTTCAAGATCATAATAGTATCCAATTTTAACAAAATATAGCTTTGTCCTTTCATCACAATAAAAGAGTACCAAACATATCACAAATAAATAGATATTGGAGATCTTAAATTTTGTGTGAAAGGGCTATCAAAAGACATATTGGGGAATTTTTTATATATAGTTGTTTGGCAGTGCTACTTCTGAAGCTGCCTCCTCCCTCAATAAGATCAGAGCTGTCTATCATGTTTGGAATATTGATACTTTGAAAGATCTGTGCAGTAGCAGAAGAAGACATGGGTATTGGTATATACAATGATTATATTCTAAATTATGTATTCAGTCAACATATTAACATCCAAATTTTATTTCCTTTTAAAATATTTAAAGTTAGTATTTTGTATTACATGTTACATATTAGAAATCCCGATTGAGGAAAATGAGAGGAACAAGAATAGTCATAAAAGGACTATGAAAAGTGGCAAAACCTTTGGCTGGTCCAGAGGATTGTACTGGTCATGTTACTGCAATGCAGAAGGATGAACTTTCTTGGCACAGGAATTTGGTTTCTTAGACAAGGAGAGCAGGCACGATACTGTTGAGTCCTATATGAAGACGATCGCTTGAGCTGCAAAATACTACATGGTTTTTAGAGACATGAAATATTAACTTATTGGAAGTTTGACCTCTGCTGACTCCAGAGAACAAAGGGAGAAGCAGTAATAATTTGCTATATTTGAAACGAAGAAAGCTTTCCAAATTTTTCTGGCAGAATGTGTCAAGACAGGTCAGGAAGTTGTGGTTATTTACCTTTACAACACCTCTCATGAAGGCAACATTTGGAAGAGGCCTTCTAAAGTGAAGAAATGAGACGTTGGAAGACGATGTCCTCTAAAGCTGTCAGTATGGGTTTGACTGAAGTGATGAGAGGAAGTGGTGGCTTTATTATCTTCTAATTTAGGAGGAATTTTACCTGTGTTGATAGATACCAATGAGTCTGTGACATAGAGAATCTGTAATGCTCCTACCCACACTCCAATTCTGTAGCAAGAATTAGGGATGTTAGAATCTGAGGATTCCAACATTTATGCTGGTGAGGCATCCTCAGACATTGGTTTCTGAATATAATAGTCAATCAGATAGATACTGTCTTCACAAGGAGAATATCTTTGTTTCATATATTAGTAAAGACATTGTTTTGGTCAGTGCTTGGTGCAAAAGAGATATTTTCCAACAATGGACAACTCATTTCTCACCTGGATACAAGGCTACTCCTATAGAGATTTCTTTCAACACAACATGTAGAGCAAATTTTCCCAAATATGACTTTCTGCTACTGATCACTTACTCAAGCTCCATAATCCTATCTGTAGCTGGCTGCTTCTCTCTGAATATGTCTTTAATATATTGCATATGATTGTTTGCTTTTGGATGTCCTTATCCTTCCTTAAATTTCCAGGTCACTTTGGAAAGTGAAGAGGTTCATTTTCCTCTTAGATTAGAAGCCAAAGTTAAATGATGTTTTGTAAGAATAAACTTGTATGAGCAATATCATGAATATTACAATGAAATTTCTTTACAAAATAAAGACAAAATGTTCCACAAAGACAAAGAGTTGGAGGAGGAATCCAGAGTCTTTGATTAGTGGCTGAATTATAGGGAAGAGTGTTTAAAGGCAAGGTGAGAAATTTGGACTTTGGCTCATTATTGTAAATTAAAAATGACAAGAATTTAATAAAGTTCAGTGGCATTAGGAATTTAGAGAGAAAAGGGAAACAAAGACATTCCCAGAAGGAGAAAAATAATTTGACTTTCATTTTTAATTTGGGGATGAAGGCATCATTCTCAGGTTTCAGCTATTTTTTTAGACTAAAATGGGCAGAGTGTATGTCTATGTGTAGATGCGGGAGGAATAAGGTAGTTTTGGAGGAAGTTAGTGTCTTCAGTTTGGAACCTGTCTCGAGAACAACTAGATAAGGTCATCCTGAACATTTTTTTTCATGTTTTGCCATGTATAATACACGCTCAATTCAGGAAACTGACACAATCTCTGACTGACACTGTTTTCTTCTGATAAAAAGGTAATATGTCCACATGCATCAGTTGCCCTGCTTTTTCTTCTGACTTTTGATGTGATTGAAACTGACGGAGTAAAGAATACATCTTATGACCCCTATTAGCCACCCTCAGGCTTTGAAGCAGCCAATGGAGCGGTCTGGGGTAAACCTTGTTCAGAATTAGGGTGGCCCGGTGATCAACTGACCCTATCACATTCTCCTTTGGTCTTTTAACTATGAATTCAGCAGAGAAAGGAGGTGGAAACATAAAGCAAGTGGCAAAGATCTAGAATCAGACTAAGTAGAGGAGTAAAGATCAAAGGTCAAGAGACAAAGGTGGAGCTGTAAGCTCCAGTCTCTTGGCTGTAGAAATGGAGAGAACCTAACCAACTCAAGAAGGGGTCAAGAATAAGGTGTACATTCAGATGGAGGAAAAAATGTTGGGTCTACTTCTACTAGCCTTTCTGATATCTCCCAAGGTCTTTGCATCCCTGTTACTTCCCTTCCAGGAAATATGTGACTTTACCTCTTTGTGGAAAAATTTTCCAGCTAGAGTGAAGTGGGGGGAAGTCTAAAATATTCTTGTTACTTTTGTAGTCCAAGAAAATACACTTATATGGGGCAGATGATAGCACGTTAACTATTTTTCTTTATTTTTCCTGCCATCTTGAGCATGAAATAATTTAGACATTCCAAAGTTTTACTTTATCACGCACGTTCCATTAAACATTTCCTGTAGTATCTACTGGCTCTTGTGGTTATCCAGTGATGAATCTTATTGATTAATAAATGAGAAGATATTAGGTTTCTCAGCTCACCCCCATCTTCCCACTTCAGATCTACCTGCAGAGAGGATTTGTCCAGTTGTTCTCTGTTGTGTTAAGAAACCTGCCTCTATGAACAAAGCTTATGATTGTCCAGAATTTCCAGTAACTGGATGGATAAGTCTGCCTTGTTAAATGATGAAAGGCTTCAAACACACTCTGCTACACAATGAAAGTCCTGTTCTCAAATTTTTTTATTTTGAGTAATAATAGGTTGACTTCAGTGAATCTATTTCCTGTCTCACTTTTCAACATGTTCTGAAATCTGGTGAGCAAAGAGAAATGATCAAGATATCTTAAAACCTTAGCATTAGAGAGATTCCAGAGTAACCAAAGAATATGAGAGAACTGGCAAAAATCAAGAGACGTTTTAAATTTGGTTTGTGAATGACTCCGCTTTGATTTTTTCTTAAGGAATTCAAATATACTTTCTCAGCTTCTTCTTTTTTTTTAATATTTCAGCTATTGAACATGACAATGCATGGAGTTTTGACTGAATTGCTGTATTTATAATAGCATTATCTTTAGTGAAGTTTAAAATATGAGTGGATAGTGTTTATTGAGTGCTTCACTAAATGTCAGGCATTATGCTACAAACTTTATAAAATTTAATTTTCACAGCTTTAAAAGAAACAATGAAGCTAAAATAATTAAAGTAATTTACCAGTCACACATAAGAATTTCTCCAGCTCTAAAACATACCCATATATACTCCATTATGCTACATATATACTATATTTACTACCATGTGTCCAATGAAAACTCATAAGCTTTAGCATCTGAGGACTATTGTAAGTCTAGATCCTATCATATATTATCTGATCATGCATTGAATAAGGGTAGAAGAGAGCTGCCTCACCAACATTTATCTGTTTACTATGGTGCAAATGTTAATATTAAAGCTAAACAT